GAAATATACAAGTAGATTTAGAGTAGAGGTCCCGATAGCGTAATATTTAGTGTGTTGGAATTTCATGCTGGCGACTAATGTGTTCAATCCCTCTTGTGGGCAAATCTTTTTTTACTTTTTCAGCTCGATTTTAAGTTTTCTTTCCGGAAAGGGACGGAAGACCTCTCGTTGCTCGCAACGAGTTTCACATCTAGTTATTATTATTATTCTTTTTTTGACAAAATTTTGTGCACGCGATTTCTCGAAAACTATTCAGCGGACTTCAGCGAAACTTTTACAAAAAATGCGTAATTATATGAAGTTGTGCAGTCTGTAATTTTTTTTGGTAAATTCGCTTTCGGTGCCAAGTTATGGACGATTTCCTGATTTTAAAATGCAATTTTGTCGCGCACTTTTATCGAAAATGGCTGAGGATATGAACTGGAGACTTATTGGAGATGATAGATCGTGACTTTCTGGTTTGCAGAATCGCCTTTTCGTGCGTCGTCAGCACTTCCGGTTTCTGCCGGAAGCATATTTAAAAAATGCAATTTTTCATTTTTTTTGTTTTTCAATATTTTTCTTTGGTGTTTTCTATCTAAATAGAGACTCATTTGAAAATGCGTAATATGTAATTTGTTTTAGAATCGTAAAAGGCAATCTCGAGATATTCGCAATTAAAAATTTGAAGCGGTGTTTTCAATGGCCGAATGGTTAGCGCGTTTGATTGTCACGCGTGCGACCCGGGTTCGCTCCCTCGAAAGTCCGAATTTTTTTTATCACTTTTTCTGCTAGATTTTTCGTTTTTTATTTCAGAATCAGACGGAAGACCTCTCGTTGCTCGCAACGAGTTTCTTTTCTAGTTATTATTATTTTTCTTCTTCATGGGAAAATTTTGTCCACGAGTGATCTTGTAAACTACACATCTGACTAAGGTAAAATGTTTTTAGGGTCAGTAGACATGTTATGTAGATTTGCCGAACGAAGGTCATTTTGCGCGCACGTGCTTGCAAGAGCGCACGTGCAACACATTAAATGACCAATATAATGGATATTGCTGTAACTTTTCTTTTTTTTTGATGAATTTTTTTGAAACTCATAATGTAAGGATATATTAGTAGTATAGACAAGATGACATGGTCAAAATAGCAAGATCTCACGCGCATGCACGTGCGCTTCGCTCTGATTGGCTGAAACTAAAGTCTCAATATCTTTCGTGTTTCTTGTCATAATCTTTTGAAATTTTGAACATAGCCCTACATTATGAAGATCTACAGCATGATATATAAAAATTTTCATGAAAGCATGCGCATGCGTGCGTGCTGCAATCTGATTGGCTGAAAATTTAAATGGCTATATCTCCTTTGTTTTTTGACGAAATGCTTTGAAATTTAAAACATAGTCATGCATTAGGATATCCTAAAATATGATATAGAAAAAAATTTATGAAATCACGCGCATGCACGTGTGCTGCAATCTGATTGGCTGAAACTTTAAATGTCTATATCTCCTTTGTTTTTTTTACGAAATGTTTGGAATTTTAAAATATAGTCCTTCATTTAGATATCCATCAATACGATAAAGATAAAAATTTATGAAATCACGCGCATGCATGTGTGCTGCAATCTGATTGGCTGAAACTTCAAATGGCTATAACTCGCTTGTTTTCCAACCAAACAGGATGGGATTTAGAACAAAGATAAATATAAAGAACTCCTACAAGAAGGTGTAGTCATTATGCACGTGCATGCACGTGAAATGAGTAAAATTAAAAATACCCTCGAATGAGTGTATTTTTTAATACTTTTGGATTAAATGCTTTGATATTAAGTATATTAAAATTTTAGATAGTCTAGACAAGATAATATGGTCGTTACGAACATGAACACGCAATGCCTATTTTAAAATATATTTTGTATTTTTCTGGGAAGACCTTGATTAAGTCCAAATTCCATAAAGTATTTCTTATTTAATAGAGATTACAGGTAATATGGCACCAAAAGGGAGTTGGGGAGCGTTTGGGGAACATCTGTAACGGTCCCCGTTACAATTAGCACTAGTTTATTATGTTTTGAACCATTGCTTAACATGAACATCCAAAATAAGATACAGTAAATAAAAATGAAATCATACAATCTTCAGCACGCTAATTTATGGGGAAAAGTAATTATAAAAGAAACAAAAAAATTAAGTAATTGTGATGTTTTTCTTTCTTTTTTTTATAAAAAGGGAAAAACAAAGTACGTCTTACCATTGTTAGCGGGTCTCGATCCCAGACCTCAATAATTTTGATTCTGTGCATTACCGACTGAGCTAGACGGTACTAATATTCGATCACGCGAATTGTTGACATCGGCCATTGCTGTTGATTATCAATAACTATTCTAATTTTAGACCACTCATTACAATAATACTCCACCTCTTATGCATATTTATAAATCTTATCTTCAACCAGCGTCGTATTTGTAAAGAACCTTTAATTACTGGACTTGTCTACAATGAACACGAGGTAAAAAAAGTTAAGTATGAAAAGAGACCAAAGTAAGGCTCTAACTGCATTTAACTTGAGAGAGTTTTACCCCAGCCTCCACAAACACTAGATCTCTTACACTGTGACTATTCTCTTTCTCTTTCTAAAAGCTGTGGGGAAACTTAGGAAAAGATACAATATTAGATATTCTAGAATCCGTAATATTTCACTATCATTAAGTCAAATTTTGAGTGAATTTTTCATACAGTTTTTAGGTTCTAATTCTCACACTGAACTGTGTTCAGATGATGACAAGAAGATAAGGATTATGTGACGGGCAACATGGAATGATTAATCCTCCAGGGCACCTTATCCTTCCTCAGATATCATAAAATAGGAGCAGAGTAAACATGGACCTCCAAAACATCAGAAATAGGATCGAGTGCCACGGATGTGTAAGCATACCCTGCTAATAGATTGTTGGAAGACATGGTCTCTATAAATCACAAAGATATTGTCAATCAGAAACTCAAGCATTTTAAATATCAATTTCAGTGCATTGGAATGTAAAATTACTGTTCAATCAGATTGTTTTAACAAAGTAATTTTGCAAATGACCAATGACAAGATAAGTAAATTTACAAGTTTATTTTTATGAAAAAACAGCTGAAAATGATATCACAAATTCTGGACTTTAATTCACTGCAGGAAAATGTTGAAATCTAATGTTGAAAAAACGTCAGTTTTTATGTTATTGGATTTTGGTAAAATTTTGCAATTTGAAATATTCCGAGTTTCTTGGACTTTTTTTAGCATCAACATTTGATTTACACCCTGTATCCTGTTTTGTCCTGTTACGATTCTGAAACCATGATATTGTTTCCATTGTGATATTGCAAGATTAAACAAAGTTTAAAAACAAAAAAACAGTTCAAATTCAACATATACAAGGAAGGAAGGAAGGCTGATGTACATGTACGAGGGGTGATATAAAAGTTTGCAAACTATCTCTATATCTACAAAACCACAATTCAGATTAGAATGAAATTCGGTACACACATAGCCATACACAAGGTCTATAAATAGCATATGCTGAATAAAGTTTCTCTCCTTGTTTGTGACGTCACAATGTGAAAATGACGTCACTATTTAGGTCATTTGTGACGAAAAATGGTTGTCTCAGTCGAACTCGTTCACCAAACGACTGTACAATTTATTGTAATATCTTAGAAATCCCTCTACAGTATCATATAATAATTTGTACACAGTTTATTGAGATAAATGAGTTCCTATAAATTCAATTAATGATTGGATAAATCGTCTTAGTGAAGGAAGGCTGATGGTTACATGTAAAAGTAATACTTGTCATCTTGCCCAGTGAAAGCAAGTTTGAAAAGATATGTATTTTTAATTAAGCAATTTGCTATCAAAGACCTCCAATTAGCACTTTGAAAAATAGTTGAATATTTGAACAATGATATAAGTATTAAATACCTAAGATATCGTTTACTTTAGATTTTAAACATATTAGATATGATAAAAAGGATGCACCCATTCTCTATCCACCTTGAATAAAGGCCTCTCCTGAGACAGAAGATTTGTGTTTTAATGGTCGCCATGCTTATTTTTGGAAAGGATGTTATTATCCACCCATTCTGTTGCCGAGATATGACCATTTCTGACAACTTAACTTTCTTGTCATAAAAATTAACTCACATGGAAAGAAATATAAAACTCGGAAAAATCTTTTAACTTTTGTGACAGAATGCTACGGAGGGGGTCACGTGACCGCCAATATCACGTGATTCGCGCATGCGCAGAACGGTGGTTGATGTGCATTAAAATCGGGGAGGATTAATTTAAAATAAAACCAAATATTGTTTCTTGTATGGAAGTTATTCAATTAGTTTGCGAAATTTTTGATCACCCCTCGTACATTAATTGAATACCATTACTTTTAACAGTTTTGTATTTCTTATTAACTTTGTTATGCCTTTTGTTTTTGACTGATATAAAATTTCAACATCCAGTTTCTTGATCAGGGAAACAAGCATTTGAATCTGAGAGGAGGTCTGGCAAATAAGTGGTGTATAACATGGCATCTATATATAATAGATACTCTATATCTATGCACGGATTGCTTGTTTAAACTTCAATACGTATATGTAATGTTACAATTAACAATTGTTCTTGTTCAATCGCTTTAAAGAAATTTCTCTCAATTAAGTCGAATATTTGCTAGGAATACTAGGACCTCACAATGAATCAATATTTTTTACATTCTGTCATGGATGTAAATATTCGATGGGAGATCAATTATACCAATAGCCACGACAAATTTCAAGACTTTATCTTTTATATATTTCTTTTTCTTAGAAATCTGTCCATTCCAAAAAATAGTAAGTATTGGAAACAATCAAATGTATAACAAACAGTGCATGCATGTATCTGTCTAATGTCAGGCTTATGCCATCCTGAGTCATAGCCACTTGTAGAAGTAAGAAATGAGTTATTTCTAAATACAGGTATCTTTGATGAAGAGCAGAAAAAACACACTACATATTCAACATTTATTTTCGACTCACTTCCAACAACATACATCTTTCATTCATTCTTCGTGGAGCACTATATACAGATTCCTGTCACAAATCTGAAGCATCTAAAAATCACAGCTTGGACTGGTTCTCAAACAATGAATTAAGTTAGTTCTCAGCCCTCAAAAGAATAGTCCCCGCATCCTGCGACCCATGCCTTGTCTGTCGTACATTACATTAAACTTGTTCACAAACTGAAAAACAAGGACGAAGTCAGTATTACACATTCTGGATGAAAACGTAGATAGAGAGACAAGAGAGTGGGCTGAAACTGTCTTCCACTTTCTTACACAAAATCTTTTGACAAATCAGTGTACATAGCGAAGTCTGTTTATAACAAATAGTCCAGAGAATGACAACATTCACAGTGAACCAATAATGGCAATTGTATATTGTTTTAGGCCCTTCAAGATTTTTTCACTCATAAAGAGTCATCAAATAACCCAGTGAAGGGCTACAAATTTTGACCTTTACTGGCGCTCAGAGGCATTGAGCAGTAAGTATTTTTATCATGCCAGCATCTTCTGCCATTCAGTTTTTAAGGTCTCATCCACAGGGCCTGCAATTTTCACTTCATTGTGTCAAGGGCATGGCAAAGGAACTGTTGTTTCCCATTACTTCTTGGCTTAGGTTTGTCATGGATATTCAAACTCAAGACCTTCTGATTACAGAGTGAGCGCTTTACCTACTGAACTACCATGATGGTTTAACTTTTAGTTTAATTAAACCTGGATAAATAATTATATATGATAACTTTAGTTTTTGGAATTTCATGAAAATGACATAATACTTAGTTTACACTGACCTGGTTAATTGTGTTGCAGCCCTTTGTTATTGTTCCCAGGTATGCCATCAAACAAACATCATTACATTGCTGCAATAAATAACAAATTACATACGTTAATGACAACATGTCAAAAACTTAATGAAAAAATTTGTGAATTAAGGCATGTATATCTATAGGAAATCATATTTATGTAACATAAACATAAAAAGACAACTTTTTCCATAGTATATGAATTCTAGAGTAACTGACAAAGTGCTCTACACATCAACAATCAAGACAAGCTTCATGACATCATGAATAGGTTTTATCTTCTCAGAAACATTCTTTGTATTACATAATCAACATTCAGACTGATCCTGGAGAAGACAAAGGTAATTGAGTTACTGCCCTTTGATGAAATCCTAAACAATGTCATATAAAATCAACAACCTTCAAAACACTTAAATTTTCCCATCATTTTCCCCTTCCCTTGACAAGCATATGTGACATTTCAGCAATAAGTCAAACAAGACTAAACCTTATCCTTTTACAACTTATTCATGGTTTATTTTTCTTACATTATAGAAGTCCTCTTTGAACTTGGGCGTGTTGAGAACAGGTAGTCTGTAACAAAGACTGTAGGCCTCACGTAGAATATCGTGGTTCTTAGGCACCTCTCCTGTTAAACACAATACACATGTATATATAACATAAGCGAAATGTTCATAAAATGTAAAATATTGTTAAGAACTGTCTTGTTATAAACAAAATATACATTATGTGGTTACAATTTGTGTATCCTTTTTTTTTTTATATAAAACTTTCCTATTGAATGTAAATATAATTCAAAAGTTTGAATCATTACTTACAAAACTGTGATGAATTAAATCCCCCCAAGCAATTATTCCTTAATATACTTCAGTACAAGAGTTATCAGTACAAGAGTTATCAGTCTTACATACCACTCTAAACAGCATTAACAAACATTTTAAGAGTTATCTGTCTTACAAACCAGCCGGTACAGCTTTAGTATGCTTATGTAGAATAGTTGTCTATCTTACATACCGGCCTTTACACCTTAATTTACTACAGTATGAGAGTCATCTATCTTACATACTACAGTATTAGAGTTATCTATCTTACATACCAGCCTGTACGGCCTTAATGTACTCCAGAATGAGCTTGACCCGACTGTGCAACATCTTGATAGAGCTGTGTTGGGCAATAAGGTGTTCAGCAACTGCAATAAAGTGAGAAACATTTTATCATCCAAGAGACATTGATACAACCCCAGCCTTTTAGAATTTAGCTCCTCTATGTAAAACAGTGTACAGATCGCAAAAGGAAGGTCATCAATAAATCAGATTAAAGCACATAAGTAGATACTCCTTGATTTCAAGACATTTATTAATTAGCAACTTTCTCACAATTCTAAATAATATCTTAATGTGCACTACAACAGTGTGACAAAAGACATGTCAAAATGATTGCACTGATTGATTATACATGTACTTCTATGTCTGAAACACTGATCTACCACTAATTCCTGAAGAACCACTATACCTGATGACCCTTCTCCGGTATCTGAGGTAGACATCCGTGCCACGTGATCTACCCCTATTCTCTCTGCTTCCTCAGTGGCCAGAGTGTACTGTAACTCCACAAATAACATGGTGGCCTAACAAGAAAAAAAATTGTGATTATGGTTTTCTACTGACCCAGAATGTTATGTTTAAAAATAGCTATATTTGAACTTCTATTAAAGCCACAAATACTAGGAGATAGAGCAAGGGCTGAGAACTCCCATTGCCCGACACCTGGGGCTGGTGAATTTAAGGTGTCCTTGGACAAGTGCCTAAAAATGTATTTGTCAGTCCCTGTTGAGAAATAGAGTATACCCTGTAGGTTATAATTATTGATCTCTTTCAACACGAATTCGGATATTTGTTCATCAGGTATAAATATACTTACTTCATTGTTAACAAGATCGATAACTGACTCATAGATTGTCACTGGGAGCTGTAATAGACAAGGTGAGAATATATAATAATGTGTAACTCAATACCTCAATCCAATAGACATCAGATCAAGTAAAACAGAGGATACTTACATCTGACTGTCGAGCGAGGGGGTTCAATCTCACAAATATAGGACTCTCATTGATCTGACAGATCTGTGAGGAAAAAATAAGTCAACTCAAAATTCTGGCAAACATGATAAGGAACTTCATAGATTGCATATTTTAATCCTTAAAAATGGATTGAA